GAGATAGGGTGGTTAGTAACATAATGTACAAGACTACCCAGGAATGTCATGTTGGCGTCAACTTGCTTCTCGGACATGAATTTAAGTTTTGAAATCGTCGAATTGCTAGCGTTGTGTGGTGTTTCCATATGACTCCTTCTCATGACAACGAACGTACAATCTACCTATCGCGGCCAAAATTTCTATTTGACTATCGGAGGAGCAGTTACCTTCAGCTTCTGTACTGCTGCCTAAACAAAAACGCCACATACAGTGAACCCTGTATAAATTTTCAGTTAACAAAAATTCTTGGTCAAAAAGTTATCCTGCAAACATAAGTCTATGAGTTCGAATAGGGCAATTGTAGGAACATCCCTAGTACAGATAGATCGCTTTATGAGACACTTGTCTAGCTGTGCCAAAGAGGACAGCGAGCCCGTGGCTCAGTAGTTAGGACGCTTAACTTCTAACTATCAGGTCGCGAGGTCGGGCGTCAGGCTGATGACGGCTAGTGAGCCAGAAGTGGTCATGTCAGTCTCCCTCGTGTTTGTCAGTAGAAGACTCTACGCAAAGGAATGGTATGGTCTAAGAGAGGACGATTAAAAGAGCCTTAACTTTTAAAATCTGAATATTAAACCGTAAAAATGTTGGTGAGATTTCTATGTGCAGCGGTTCGCATTGACAGCACGTTCCCAAGGGGTTGGAAGCTTTCGTATCCTATGAACAAAACTTGAAAATTTCACTCTGAGAAAAAAAATGTGCAGGTAGCACATAGATATTTTAATCCTAGAGAAACCCGGGCCTAGGATGATACACCACCAAGGGTTACGTATGGTTGGCAGACGACAGCTAATGAGCCAGAAATGGCTATTTCGATTTTCCTTGTCTTGGTCAGAAATGTTCGTCAGAAACCCGTCGCTAAGACTTGTAGTTAGGAGTCAAAATGTAAATTTCCTAATTATTTGTGCAGGACAGTTGTGTTATTGAACAGTGCTAAAGATCGGTGCGAAGAAAAGGACGCAGAGGAAAAAAATATGACAATGGGCTAAAATACGACAGAGATGTTAACCAGAAGGACAAAATCCCGCTTTTTGGGAATTTCAGACGGCAATGACATTGTATGCAGGATAACGATAAATTAAACGTAGATTGATAGTTTCTTGGTTGAAGCCTAACGGCGAGAACACAAAAACTACAAAGAGTTTATAAGACGATGTCGCCAGACG